AACAGCCGCCCCAACCTCCAGGGCCCAGGCATGACACTCTAAAGTAAAGTAAGAGGTCAGCTCAGTGTCTCAAAGATAACCTCGCTGAACACTCACGTTCCACGTCTCATCTGACCTAGTCGTTCTTATCTTTGTACCTAAGACCTCTCTCCTTACCGCTTGCTGCTTTCCGCAACCCTCATCACCGCTGCAGCAGTGTCTGCTATCCAGTGCCGCTTCCATCTACTCCGCAGCTCTACCTACACGCCCCCAATACGAAATGTCACCAAAGAGCCAGCAAAAGGCCCCTCGGTCGCGGTCACATACGCCCTCCAGAAGCCAACGTGCTCATAGCAGCAACCGTTCTTCAGCCTCCATCCAGAAAACAGAAATCCTCATTAACGTCTACGACCTTCTACCCGTACGCCTGTCCTCTAGTCCTACACTCCTCCTCATGCTGATCCGACGGAGCAAAGCCAGGCACAATCGCATCCGCTCTCTGGTTCATCGGCAGCTCCCTCCTCCACACTGGTGTCGTCATAAAGTGCTTGGATAGAGAATACGCATTCGGTGGCCATGACCGGCCAGGGATGTCGGGAGTATACTGGACAAAGCCACACACGGAGCCACCTGGAGGTACATTCCGTTGCGAACTGCTACAAGGCTTCACCTTCCGCTCCGAGCATGAAATCGAGAACTTGATCAAAAAAGTCTCCCAAGAGTTCCAAGGAACGTCCTACAACCTCCTATCCAATAACTGCAATCACTTCACCAGTCATCTCTGCGAAAAACTGATTAACAAACCCGCCCCAGCGTGGTTGAACAGAGCGGCCAGCATAGGCGTTGCGCTTCCCTGCGTCGTGCCGCGAGAATGGATAGCTCCGCCGGATCATGATACCGCTGATGGGGAGCTATTGGAAGAGGATGATGAAGATGAGCGGACCTCGATGTTACGGCGACAGTATCATCGGGGATCTAGTTTTAATGGCAGTACTGCTGGCAGTGCGATTGCCAGTACGATGGGCAGTGAGGAGGAGGAGTGGGATAGCGATAGAGATCGAAGGAAAGGCGGAAGTGGGAAGGGGAAGAGCGCTGTAAGAGATACGGATGATAGAATAATGCCTGCGAGCGAGAGAGCGCCGCCGCTAAAGGGGCGTTGATCATGGTATTCGTAGCTTTAGCTCAAATCTCAGCTGGATTCGACAAAAAGCTCAGGATCTCTTCCTGCGGTTGCTCCCGAGCAAACCCCAAAGAAGGGACTTTATACCACATCCGCTTTGGTGCATCACTTCCAAGCGGCGAAGAATTGGCTCCTATTTGGGTGTTTTTTCCCTGCTCCTACTACAAGTCAAATCGGGCACGTAAAGTACGAAGATGCCCCCACAGTAAAAAGGTGGGTTCTCACCTCGTAGCTCCATACGTCCAGGATAATTTAAGTATGCAATGTGGTGTCAGTTTGGAATTTCATACTACAAACCGTCATGTCAGCAGATGGTGTTGTATTGGATGCAGAAAGTATTTCGACGCCGCCAGTCGCTTGATCTAAGATGGGCGTTAAGAGGCACCCAAGTGCGAGAGTTGGAGGTTCTGTAGCCAGAACACGCTGGTCTTAGATCATCGTCCTTCAAAGTCAAGGCCCGTGGCTCCAATCTGCTGAATTCAACATAGTATACACACCACCGCCCTGGCCTAGCCCAATCTTCTAGGCTTTTTACCCCTCGTACCCCCAAATTTCAACCTTGTCCCATCCATAACCCTCACAATCCTGGTCCTCAGTGCCCTCCCCTCACTCCCCAGCAGAATCTTCGAAACCGCCTCCCTTCCAGGCCCAAAATTCCTCAAAACAACCTCCAACTGCCTAATCTGTCCTCCCTTCCCCGGATAGTTTTCGTCCAGCATAGCTTGGTTCTTGATCATACCCATAACATACGCTCCCAACTGGTATGCCGCATCGTAACTGCCTCGCTGGGCTTTTTTAAAGCCAATGTTCCCAGAGGAGACGGAGATGATCGGGTCGCGGTTTCCGGCTGTGAGGGTGATATGGCAGTTGTGGCGGGTAGCGTAGATGTGGAGGTGGTGGGGACGGATGAAGGGCATATCTGTGAGGGAGGGGTTCGCTTTCCGCATAAGACCCTCTGGTATTATAGGCTCGTTGGAGAGATCGGAGAATCGCGATGTGAAGGACTGAGAGAGATCCGCGACACTGCCGGTAGCAGAGATGTTGGAGGACGCAGGATTTGTGTCGGCGAGGTCACGGGAGGTGGTGGTCAAAAGGCGCTTTTGGGGGATCCGGAATGGAGGAAAAGCGTGCGCTCGGGCTATCCTTTGGCGGCAAGGAAGACATACTGATCCTAATGAGGGTAGTTGGAATAGTGAGCGCTTCATAGTAGCTGGTCTCTACGTTGAACGAGCTGTTAGAGCAGAGCTGGGCTGAGGGCTCACGGGGCTGTCCAGGAAATGCTTTGACTGTCTTGTCGGCCACCGTAGCGGAATATTGCCCGCTCTGATCTATCGTACTTGTCTTGTGTACATTTTACGCCGCCGCCAGCATCTTTGATGTTTGAATAACTGAATCTTTACGCGTTCTGACTTCAAAGTCGGGCGGTGCCTCCTCATCGACCGCTGACTTGTAGAGGCTACTAGCATGAGACCACCCTTGCATTTGCTGCGGCACATTCAAACTCGAGGTAGTCTCGCAGCAAGATGCTTCACTTCCGCTGCAATATGCCCCAGTGGGCGGACAGCACCTTTCCGATTATTACAAAGCGACCTACACAATAACAATGCCTCTACATTATATTTCCTTTCCTCGCGGCGACCTCACAGCTTCCTTGACCAGCTATCGAGGAGCGCCTTTTCTACAACGCCCCGCGCGAACGCCATCAGTTTCAGAGACTTAAAATCAGAAGACAAGCCAAAGGACTCCCCAAGACAAGAAGCAAAGTCCGGTGCAGATAAAGGAGCTCATAAGCAAGAGCCAGCATCGGAGGAAACGGAGAGTCCTGCAGAGCGGGCATATCGAGAGGCTCAAAAAGACAGCGAGAAAGAGCGGGAGGGTCGTCACTCAAGTACCAAAGATGAGTCCACCAAAAGCGAGAAAGAAGACGAGACAGGCAATGGTGAAAAGAAGCAAAAAAAGAAAGAAGAGCCGCCACCTCCACCTCCACATGGAAACAAATCACCCTGGCAGGTCTTCACAGAAACACTGCAATCTGAGTTCCAGGCCTCCAAAGAATGGAACGAGTCTACAAAAGCGCTTTCGCATTCAGCACATCAATTTACAGAGAATGAGTCCGTGAGAAAGGCTCGAGAAGCGTCCAGCCGTGCATATGGGGCGGCCACATCAGTAACGGGCTCGGCGCTCAAAGGGACGGGAAAGGTATTAGGACAAAGCGCTGCATGGACTTGGGATTCAACAGTCGTCAAAGGGGTACGGTCTGGCGTTAACGCTACCGGTCGAGGGATTGACGCAGCTACAAAACCTGTAAGGGAGACCAAGGTCTATAAGAGTGTCAAAGATGTCATCGATGATGGCAGCAGCTCAAGATATGGCGGCTGGGTAGAAAAAGAGGAAAGAAGGAAAAAACGCGAGCTGAGGGAATTGAAAGACTCTGGAGGGTTGCCAGGCAAGCGGGCGGAGAAGATGGAGGAAGACCCAGAGTACAATTCCATGAACGAGAAAGCAACCAATATGAATGTCGCTAATTTCATCGTAGTGCCGGCACAAACGTCACCCTGCATAAAGATTCCAAGTTCCATCAAACATGGACCAACTTCAGAGACTCCAACCGACTCATGCAGTCCCTCTTCTCCCTCAAGTCGAGCTACAACGAATCCGAAAACCCCCTCGTCTCAACAGCCCGCAGCATCACGGACCGCGTCGCTGGTTTTTTCGCCGAAAATGAAACTGCTCGGGTCATCAAAAAATTCCGTGAAATGGACCCATCATTCCAAGTAGAACCCTTCCTCCGCGAAATGCGCGAATACATCCTCCCCGAAGTTCTTGACGCCTACGTGAAAGGGGACACCGAGACCCTCAAGCTCTGGCTCTCGGCCGCGCAATACCAGGTCTACGCCGCCCTGACCCAGCAATACACTGCTGCCGGCCTGAAATCCGATGGACGCATACTAGACATACGGCATGTCGACATACTGTCTGCCCGCATGCTCGAACCAGGAGAGATACCGGTCTTCATCATCCGGTGCCAAACGCAAGAAGTTCATGTTTACCGAAATGCCAAGACAAACGAGCTAGCTGCTGGTATGGAGGATAGGGTGCAGCTTGTCACTTATGCCCTTGGGATAACAAGGACGCCGGAAGATGTCAATAATCCGGATACGAGGGGGTGGCGATTGATCGAGCTGCAGAAGAGTGCTAGGGATTACATATGATACAGCAATTTCAGCTGTGCTAACGGTATCTTGTCTTGCATTTAGCGCGCATGGAAAAGCAAGCGTCCTGAGCTCATCCAAGTGTATAATATCATCCGAAGCATCTCGTCTGTCGAGTTGGAAGCAGGGGTAGCGAGGCGTCATCGGACGTCGAATTTCGGTCGCCACTCTCAAGCAAAATCTAAATTTCTATGTACATTTTGATTTTTGAAAGACGAAGACCCCTTTCAATGAGCTATCCGGGGTACATTGGCAGGACAAGATGGTAGAGGGATTGAATCCGCGACTTAGGAGAGCTTTTAGCCAGCCGTAAAGACTGCGCATCCGACACGTAAAACTCACCGTAATTGCATCAAGCTTCAGGCAGATCTTTATCCTCCAACCCTGCAACAAGCTCCATGTATACTCCGCGCGTTTCGGATGAAGTAGTATTGTCGGCGCTCTTGTTGGCGTGCCCTAGATAACCTCATATGCTGTCAATAAATTTGTTGAGCACCGGCCGTCCTCTACCTTTTCGGCACATGCCACCGAAGCCTACAGCCAGCCAACACCCTCCGCCCACTGGCCCCACTCTCATCCGATGCTTGCTTGAGCCTGTACGCTGTCACGCCTTTTCGTATCTCGAATGAATGCACTCTCTTAATCCATATCTCCGGGCCTTCTTCAAGAGCGCGTTACCTGCCCAATGCAATCCGGTCAACAACCACGTGAGTATACCACCATACCAGAGAGATCTGGCGGACTGGCGCAGGGAAATTACACGAAGCAAGAGCTGACGTTGATGAAGATTCTCCTTGTCCCAACGACCGAATGCCTCCTGACCGGCAAGGACCGAGAGACCAATTCTACATTTGCAGACTTGGCTGGATCTGAGGATTTCCTGGGCAGCCATGTCCTCAAAATCTCTGGCCCTGCAGCTCCTGGAAGCAACAATGTGCGAGACAGCAGGGGTAAAGCGAAGCAGTTCATTACAGTCAATGGGCGGACTATTGTGGTGAAAGAGTCGTTTGTCTACAGCAATAAAGGTATGGCAAGATCATTGGCATATAAAGACTTCCCTAGGGTAACACTTCTCCAGGCTTTAGAAACCTCAATCAGGCGCAGCTTCTCAGCGACCAGCTATACTATCCTGACAATCTTGATGCGCAGCAATGGCTCATATACTATATCTCGAGACCTCTTGTAGGCTCCTACCAGCCAATCAATATCACGCCAGCTATCCTTCCAACCCTGTTGAAAGGGTTCAAACCTCTTACCATTACCCTGAAAGACCCCTTGGGCGGACAAGGAGACTCTGGGCCCTCCTCATCAGTCAACAAGAAAGACGTACGGTCGTTCAACGAACTACTCAACAACTTTCCAATGATCGCGCGGCAGATGCAGCCCGGGTTAGAGAAGGTGTTTAAAGACTTCAACAAGGAAATGCAGGATCGACCTTCTACGCTTTCGCGCAAGTCATCAAACACCTCTCGAAGATCTTCAACAGCATCCTCACATTCCAAGACCAAGGGGTCCATACGCAGCAGATACTCAAACGGCCATACAGCCGCGCCATCCATAGCAACAACACGCGTGGATGAGGAGGAAGACCATATGCGGAAGACGTTGGAGACTGCGGTGACTGCGGCGATCGATCTGTTTCAGCAAGTGGATAAGCAACAACTGTCTTTGCTAGGAGCTACAACTGACCTCACGGGCCCTACTGTGGAGCGAATCATCGAGCGGTATGTCACAGAGCAAGTTCACGACTCCACTCTCTTCCCAGTGCTTCGGAACAGCAGACGGCTGGAAGATCTGGAGCTCGAGTCTCGAATTCATCAGATGCAACACATCGATATTGCTCAAGTTGGCATTGAGATAGAAGTTGGTCGGAAAGGCAAGGAACAGATGATGGACAGGCTCGCCAAGGGAGTTGAAGAGTTCCGTAAGCTTGGTGTTGCTGGCAGTCCTCAGCAGATGATGGAGATTCTTCTGGCGACGCAGAAGGTCGTCACGAGTGACCAGCCCATAGCTAAGAATCTTGATTCCGCAATGAACGACCGTATAGGACCGGAAGGATCGGGGAAGCCGCCTCCGTCTATAACCATGAATGCCGATACTCTAGTCTCCCTACTGCTAGTTGTGGTCATTCGTTCCCAAGTACGGCATCTTCACGCTCGATTTTCCTATATGCGGAACTTCATCTTCGTCGATGATGTCGAAAGTGGTGAGGTTGGATACGCGTTGAGTACATTCGAAGCAGTGCTTTCCTACCTGGCGTCTGACTCCGGTGGCCTACGTAAAGCAAGCAGAGGGAACAATCGACTATGGCAGGCTGCTAGGAGTGGCGATGTCAAGGATATCAAGGCGATTATGGATCCTGAACCGGAATCTGTTCTCAACAAAAACAGAAGTTCCGCCTTGCACGAGGAGCCCGATGAGGATGCTATTACCGATGCCGACGATGACTCGGAGAAAGGCCGCTTCGTTGGCAAGGAGAACAGCAAGCACTTCGAACGTCGCTTATCCACTGCAACCACCGAGGACGGCAACACTTCGGAAAACTCCACCTTGGCACACGTCTTTCCTTTCCAGGCTCTTCAAGCCTCCCGCAAAGGTAAACATGTTTCCATGGATATGAGAAGCCTTTCAAATTCTTCGGAGTACTCGTTCATTTCTCGAACAACTACTCTGGACTCAAAGTCAAGCAACGTTGAAGGCGATACCTCCATCGAAACACTTGCGCAGACTCAAGACATAGATGGCAACTCGGTACTCATGATGGCCGTGGAAGCACGACAGCCAGAAGCACTTGAGTATCTGTTGTCCTTGGAGGAATACTTTTCCCCTAGGCTTTTGCTGGAAGACTCCAACAAGGAGGGCACCACGCTTCTGAGTGCTGCAGTCCAATTGGCTCACACCGAGCTCATTGATGTATTACTACGCTGCATCTTTCAAAGGAGAGACACAGAGGAGATCCTCGACTACTTCGGCAGAGCAGATCGTCATGGTCGAACGGTTGCCCATTATCTTTTTAACGCCCCATATCTGATTCCCCAGTTCTCCGAGATCCTGCCATGGAGAAGGAAAGACAAGAACGGCCAGACGCCTTTGCTCGCTTTGTGTAGATCCTACGATCATAATAACTATGCGGAGATGGTCAACGAAGCGTTGCAATTCGCAACGCATGAGCAAGGCGACGGCCAGCCACTTCATCTGGACGATCATGTTGACGCGAAGGGCAATACATTACTTCATGTGGTCAATGATCCTACTTTAGCTGTACGAATACTGAGGCATTGCGACTCCGATCCAAACGCTACCAATGACAAGCGTTTCACTCCTTTAATGGTGGCCAGCAAATACGGTCGAATGGACATGGTCAGAGCTTTATTCAGCGATCAGAGGGTTGACGTGTTAGCTAAAGAATCAAGAGGCATGACTGCAGTTGAGCTTGCTAAAGACGACGAGATTCGGAATCGCATCGACGACATGGTGCTCGTTTCCAATGTGCCTGCTGCTGACGGGAGAGTGACAGCCGTTGTTCGGTCATTTTTTGTGGAGGATGCCTCGATACGCTTGATTATCAAGTCTGCTGTCCGCAATGACAATGGAATGATCGGCGTCACCACTTGTAGGCGGTCGTTGACAGATTTTGAGAACCTGGCCAAATGGCTTTCCGTGGAACATCCTGCTTCATGGCTACCGTCAATCTTCAACTTTCGTTCGCCCTTTCAGATAGCTTCTCGACCTTCAAGAGCAGTACTGCAAGACATTCAAGTGCGTCTCGACAAGTTCTTAAAGATCATGCTTGCTCACTCAACCTTCTCGACGCACGAGCTGCTGTGGGAGTTTATCCTCTTCCCTGAGATACAGCCAGACATGATGGCAGAGCGGAGCCGGAAGAAAGCGGAGCTTCGGAGCGAGAATATCATGGAGGATTACGAGCCAGTCGAGGATGTGAGGGATGTTTCGACATTTGTTGAGCATGCCCGGGAGTCGATTCGAGGCATCAATTATTCGACCAAGAGCGTGATACGGAGGGTCGCCAGCGTCCGCGTCGGCTCGTCGAGTATGTATACTCCAACTTCTCGGCGGCAGCAAGCTGACTGCTCCCTAGATTTCTCCATCGCCCTGGACTTATGTGCCAAGGATTTCTCAACGCTAGCATTTCTTCCATCCTCTTACGTCGTGGCCCTTTCCCGCTTCGCCACCTGCGCTCAAGCTCTACCCTCAGATCCTCACAAATTCTTTCATCAAGATCTGCAAGCCATTTCCTCCACCATCCTTGCCATTCTCTCATCTCTAGCTCGCCCTCATTCCTTGATCAATTCGCTTGTTGACATCCAAAAGACTGTTGATCGCCACGACTCTTCGCTACGACGCTCCGACCGATGGCCGCTTGGTCTACTCGATGAAACACGCAAAGGCATACACGCTGATGCGCAAGAGAAGGCTGAGAAGAGCAGGGAAGAAATGAGGAGTGTGGGCTGCGAGTTGACCTATACACAGCAGACTGTTGCCGGTGAGCTGGCTGGATGGCAAGAGCTGCATGCTAAGCTAGGGAGACGAGCAATCAAGGCTTTGGCTGAGAGGATGGTAGTGAGGGAGAAGGATCGACTTGAGAGTATGAAGAGGGCGGTGAGGGCAATTGTGGATGTGAATCAGAAGTGGTGAGATGGTGTGGCCTTAACAGATCTGGTGGTTGGGTGCCTGCAGTCCGTTGGACATATGGCTCCTAGGACTCTTTCTTCGTTCATGTCGTAGGGTGGGCTTGGATCCCTCGGTGTTTCTTTGGACGAAGATACCCCAAATCGTTGTCAATCAATGTTTTTTGCTCTACATCAACGATATCCTGGTCGTGCATGCGTCTTAGTGGCTTCCACGCAAAGCATGTCGCTTTTGGCATTCTTGAAGACATGGAATGAATCTCCTGCTTGCTTGTTATCGTACACACGTACATTTTTACCTTGCAGAAGAGGCATGCACAGCCGATATCTATTTTACCCGGAGGTTAAGGTGGATAGGTACATGTAGTGTACAGGTAGCTGGATAAATATCTTAGCTGCAGATCCAACCGCCCCGCGTGCGTCACAGCTTCTGAAAAACATCCCACTTTTCTTTGCCCTTTTTTTTCTTCTTTACCTACACCTTCACCTTCAACTTCAACAAAAGACTTTTTCTTACAATCAGGATTACATTTTGAACGCCCTGAAATACATCAGCTCAACTATCACCATGGCCACCTCAGAGATGACCTCGTAAGGTTCCCCTCCCTCAACCAGACCCTCACCTGCTCAAAACCCTGACTAAATCTGTATCAATACAGCAAAACTTTTAGTCTCAACACTGGCGACAAGATTCCAGCCATCGGCCTCGGCACCTGGCAAAGCAAACCCAACGAAGTGCGTGATGCTGTCAAAGTTGCGCTGACTAAAGGCTACCGTCATATCGATACCGCGCTCGCTTATGGGAATGAGCATGAAGTTGGGCAGGGTATCAAAGATTCTGGGGTTCCAAGGAAAGAGATATGGTTGACGACCAAGCTGGATAACACATGGCATCATATTGTCGGCGAGGGCATTGAGAGTAGTCTGAAGAGCTTGGGGACGGACTATGTGGATCTGTACCTCATGGTTGGGATTTCATGTTGGTCCTTGTAGACTTGCGCTGATTAAAGAAGCATTGGCCGTCCTCAACCGACCCAAAGGACAAATCGAAGCATCTCCCAGACTGGAACTTTATCAAGACATGGTAAGTCCCTTTGCTCCACTCCCCTTCGGTCCTCCCCTTGCCCTATGCCAACCATACCCTAGGCAAGAGATGCAAAAACTCCCCGCCACCGGCAAAGTCCGCAACATTGGTGTGTCTAATTTTGGTATCAAAAACCTCGAAAAACTCCTCAGCGATCCCTCCTGCAAGATCGTCCCTGCCGTCAACCAGATAGAACTACACCCCAACAACCCGAGTCCGAAGTTGGTGGCATTCAACAAGGAAAAGGGCATTCACTGCACGGGGTACTCATGTCTAGGGAGTACGAACTCGCCGTTATATAAAGATCCGACGCTGTTGAAGATGGCGGAAGAGAAGGGAAAGACGGCGCAGCAGGTGCTGTTGATGTGGGGGCTCCAGCAGTAAGCCTACTCTTCGCTTCCTACTCCTAGTATCGACGGCTTTTTGTCTTGTGGAGCGTGTTTAGGCGTGAACTCCTTTGTTCCTGTCGTGTATCATCCTCGGTGCAAGCCTTGTTATTTTTGATTTCTTGTCTCGAAGAGACCATGCTGAATTGGAGAACTCACTTACAGTGAATGGTCGGTCATACCTAAGAGTGTCAGCCAGGCCAGAATTGAGAAGAATTTCGAGCTGAATGGGTGGGATTTGTCAAGTGCGGAGATGAAGCAGCTGGACGGGTTGACGGATCGATTCAAGGTTTGTGGAGATGGGTGGTTGCCTATCAAGGTATTTCATGGAGATGATGAGTAGACTGGGGATGTTCGAGGATGAAGTGGGCGTGCAACGGTCTTCGGAGACTTTTGAGGGCGCCAACTTTGAGCTAGCGTCCAAGTCAGATGATGATGCATCCAGAAAGAGTTGTGCGCAGAGCCACAAAAGGTTCTACACGTTTTCAACCTCTTCCACATTGCTTTGGGACTAATGCCGCAGACTTTTCCAGTGCTGATCTCAGCTGGGTGGCGCTTACTCATACAAGTGACAATTCGGAGACATACCGAAAAGTATCCGATAACCATCCGACAATCCTCCATCCCCCCAACATAAGAAGACTGAAGCCCCCAAATCTCCGGAGTATCATTCTATGATCAGGAAACACTTGACAAGACATATCTCACAAGCAATCAGACCCATACAACTAATCTACCACGCAACTCCCGTGACCCGAACAACTTGCTTCGCACAGACACCAAGCATGTCTCAACCCCACCCACGCTCCGAACACCCACCAAACACATCTTTCGACCCCCCAAGCCCCTGCACTCACAACAACAATAACAACCACAACCACGCCCATGTGCCCAGCACCGCCTTCTCCGGCGACATGGCCCAAACCTACAGCCAACGCACGGGCGGCTGCAACATCGTCCTCGCCGACCACCTCATCTCCCTCATCACCCCCTCCCTCCCCCCTCCCACCACCACTCCAAGCCTCCGAATCCTCGACAACGCCTGCGGCCCCATGGTCCTCACAACCCAATGCCTGCTCGACCCGTCCATCGCAACCTACCCATCCGTCCACATCTCCGCCGTCGACCTCAGCGCCGACTTCATCGCCGCCAACCGCACCGCCATATCCTCCCGGAGCACCCTCGGCCCCAAAGTCGACACCGCCGTCATGGACGGCACGGACCTGCGCTTCGCCGACGACACCTTCGACGTCAGCTTCACCTCCCTCGGCATCTTCGCCTTCCCGGACCCCGTCCGGGGCGCCCGGGAGCTGTACCGCACGCTGAAACCCGGGGGCGTGACGGCCGCGACGACGTGGAAGGGCGTCGGATGGCTGCCGCTGCTGCACGCGGTCGAAGAAGAAGTGCTGCAGCCCGGGCAGGCGAAGACGCGGCTGCCGTTTCTGGAACCGTGGGCGGTGGCGGGGAAGCTGGAGGCGACGCTGCGGGAAGGGGGGTTCGAGCGGGTGGAAGAGGGGGAGGTGGAGGGGGTGGCGTGGTGGGGTGGGGTGGGGGAGGCGGCGTACTGGCTTACGGCGACGGTGAGGATGATGGTGGGGCGGGGTTGGAGTGAGGAGGAGAAGGATAAGATGGAGGAGGGGTTCAGGACGGTTTTGGAGAGAGGGGTTAGGGAGGGGAGTGAGTTGGTGGTGACGGAGGCGGAGGGGGGAAGGGTGGGGTGTAGGATGGTCGCGTTTACGGGGTTGGGGTGGAAGTAGGTGGGAAGGGAGGGGTGGACAGTGTGGAGTTTGGACGAGTGGTTGTTGGGGTGGTGGGGCCTGTGATGTGGGGGGACTTTCTGCTGATGCGGGCCTCTTCGCATCTTAAGATCACCGCGGGTTAGAATCCTACGTTGGAAATCAACCGAACAGATATCATTCTCGAGCTCTCGACTGCGTGGGCATCTATTAAACACAACTTTCCTGAGTCTCGGGTAGTTGGAAGGGGGGAGCGTGGTTGATCGTGGAGAGTTCTCGGTTCGGTCAGCATGTTGTACGAGCCGCTTTATTTTTCGAACCAGAAACAAAAGCTTTCCGTGGCTAGATTCTTCAACAATGAACCTAGTCTTTTTCCACGACAGGAATATTTGGTCGAGGGTGAAAGATGTATGTTGTGAGTGCATTGGAATTCGGCCCTACAGCTGAGGTTATCCCGCGACTTCTCGGCTTCCTCAGAAGAAAAGAACGCCTCAATGTTCTTCCTTGCCGCCAAACATAGAACCTGTTCATCGTTGTCGATACGACCTGCTGTCAGACCGACTTTGCAGCTCCGAGTAACGCCTCGAACCCGCACTCGTCCCGACGCACCAGGCTCACCCTTCATAAGCCCCGCCTTCCTCGCTCTCACAGCAACAACCTTACTCAGATTCCCTCGCCCTCCTTTGTCACACCATTCCCGTCTGCTCCATCACGGTCGGTTTCCATATCCTTCTTCCACGTGTGGTAAGCCTGCCGCACATACTTCAACGTCCCCAGACCCTGAGACCCACGCCACACATGCAAGTGCCTGGCCAAATTTGCACCAATATCAGGCCCGGTGATGTTGCACTGGGCGAAATGCGTCATGATGGCACCGGGCCCGCTGCAGGCGGAGATGGTTCGCAGATACGAGGGGTGCGAGCTCAGAGTCAGAGCCAGGTCCGGGAAGAGTATATTCCGCTTTGAGCCTCTGGAGAAGCCGACGTGCTGTTCGCAGAACCGATAAACCGTCAGTGGGGGAGCTAGCTCAAGAATGGGTGTGAGGCGGTGGCGGCCGAGGATCGGAACCACATACCGTCAGAGTAGCAACGCCGTTGTCGACAACGCTCGAAAACGCGCCGGTGTACCGGATGACGAGTCTGTCAGCCTTCTGGATGACTCCGGCGAGGAAGAGTTTTTCGAACTTCATCTTGCTGTAGGATTCGAACACAGAGTTCGGATCAGCACCTGTGCTCTGGACCCATTGCGGGTCATAGTTGTGGAGGGTTGCGAAACCGTTGTCGCCGACTTCGTTGGTGACGAATCGAAGACGTGGTTGGGTTATCTTCCTGTGGAGCTTGGTTGGCGCTGGGGTGGAATGGTGTTTTCTAGCTTGAGCTGGAGCAGTAGCGTCATTTGCGTAGGGGCTTGAGGCTTGATGCTGAGGGTGGTAGCTGTGCTGGTGAGGAAGGCTAGGGTCGAGGTTTATGTCATCATGATTTGAAATGGGAAAGCTGCTACTGCGCTGATTGTAGATAGGATCGGCAGCTGTTGTCTCCGTATAGGGACTGGAGTATTGGCAACGATCATGTTGAGGATAGCTGGTGTCCGCAAACGTGTTGCTAGTGTACAACGTGGGATCATGGGTACTAAATGGCCCACGATTTGGGCCTTGATGATCCACTGCAAGGTCTGTGCTCTGGTAATCACCTTCTGGTAGAGCATTGAGACTATTAGACGCGATATCGTTATCTGGGTGACGCGCTGAAGACGAGGGGTATATGCCATGGCTCTGAGCAAAAAGAACGCAGGCAGAAAGATACTCAGGATCCAAAGAGCGAACATCGACACTGTGAATACCATCCGACATAGAGTGTTCACGCCCGTCTTGTTGATGTGGCCATTGTTCAGCCATGGTAAGAGGGACGCTTCAAGTCTTCTTGAATGCGTAGAAGATGAACAAACGCGTAATATAAAGCTAAAGCTCTAGATCAATAGAGGAATGGGTGGACCAGTGTGTACAAGTCAGCGTGTGTGAACGGATGGATGTCCGGGTGAGAAGTCCGTAGACGTTCAACCTTAGTAATACGCTATTCCACTTCAGGAATTGTGTTGTTTGTTTGTATCATCTCATTCACTCACTGTTTCCCCGAGGTTTTCCCATAGTATCAATGATTCTTCATTTCATCTTTGTGAATTTCCTCATCAACAACATGCGGCGATGTCTCAAGCTTGCCGACTCTGGCTATCACAAGTGAATGAGGTTGTTTTCCAAGCATCACTCCAGATATTGTGATTCTGGACCACGGATGCTTCTGCTGACTGACTGCGATTTGCGTAAACGAGGATGTAGAGTACAGATGTCAAGCAAGCAGGCAAGGAGCTACTTGTTCTACCTCGTCATTACCAGTAGCAGCGTTAGTGTTGTACTGTGCCGCACATCTGTCTGACCCATTAGCGTGTCGTGGGTTAGCCTAGGGCTATCATACTCAAGGCAAGGCTTTCATATACTAAGTGGTCTCTGTGACGAGTGTTTCTATCCCAACCATAACTTCGTGTCATACCTACACCAAGACGAGGACTCCAGATCGAGTATGAGATCAGACTACTGCATAAATATCGCAACTTGAACGTTGACACAACTCGAAAATTTGGACCACCTTGTACCTATTTTCGGTACATCTTAGCACCGCAGTTCCCACTTCCGTCGCTAACCTCCGCACCATTGACCGTCCGAGCCATCGCACAGCTAGCACTCGAAAGCATAGACTCATCTCGATAACTCGTCCCCAGCATGACCGATCATATAATCGCCTTGGCTACGTTCGAAGACCCAGCGAAGTTTGAAGCCGCAAAACTCTCTTGGATCGAAGCTGGATCAATGCCATAGGGGGCCGACATGTAGTAGTTCATCTGGAAATCGAAGAAGGAACCGATAGCGTAGGCGTAGATGACGAGGGTCGCCTGCGTGAGGCCCGGAGACGCTAGTCGAACTGATCAGTAATCCTTCTCGAGGCGTTTATTTCGAGGATCGATGGTAGCTTACGGGGAACCAAATAAGCGCCGCCCGTACCCTGGCTCACACAGTCCCTCATGACGAGCTGAAGCGCTTCGCCGAAATCGGTCCAGCGAGACTTGCTGCTCGCATAGATTCTTTGAGGTCCAGCATAGCTCAGCAACGCAACTCTGAACTCATCTAGAGAATTGTGGATCAGATACGGTTGTGTTCACAGAGACGCCATAGATAGATAGGACGTACTGTTTCCCCAGATCTTCGGAACCTGAACTTTAGGTTCCGTAGCAACGACGGGCGCAAATGGCGTACGTTGCAACTGGGGTTCGACAAAGAACCTTCTCGTGTAATCAAACGTTGGCAGTTGCTGTGCGGTGGGGACGTTGGCGGGTTCGGGCGATCCGGCCCACTTGCCACACCAGTGGTCAGCCGCATTTTCGGTAGAATTTTCCGCTTGAGCTTGGCAGAGGCCAGCAGCGGCGACCAAGATTGAAGTGACGGCAAGCAAGTACATGGCTGTAGAGGCGAATCACGAAAATGAAGTATCTTCTCAGAGACAGGTTCTGATCCTAAGAAAAAGCAGCCATAAGGAGCCTCTTATATTCCAGAGAGCCTTGGTCTGTGAGAAGAGAGTGGTCCCCTTTCCTCATCCATCTCTTCGATCGTTGGATTCGCATCGCGTTGCATGAATCTAGCACGGCGGAAGGACCTATGTACAAGTCATTTGCTTCGGACGCTTCTCCGCTTCCCCATGAGTTTTTGCGGGGTAATGGGGAAGTTAGTAACCCCTCAATGTCAGGCGCACTGGCAGAGTTGGAAGTATCCATTCAAGCGAACCATAGGTTCATATGGCTACGGAACATGCACTGAGCATGACCTTAGGCTTATGGGTAAAGTAGCGGAAGCGTAGCGAGTTCCAAGAATGTCGGTCAAGAAGAAAATCATGATCACGTGTTTCTTGCGCAACAGATGTACATCTCGCCTGTTCGAGACTTGCGCCTTTCTCGCTCTTGGAGAAGCGACGTTTCGCACTGAGACAATGCAGTCATACGCGCGTAGAACGGTTCTCGGAAGATGAGACCCTAGCCTTTCTTCTCAGGACTTGTAAGCCTTGACGTGGTCGTGGATTGGGCTGGTCTGAATAGAGTCCAAACTTCGTGAAGACGAAGACTCGCATAACGCTAGTCGCCAATCAATCATGACGCACAAGATTTTGGCTTGCATGCGCATTCTCCTAAGAACGTGTAACCAGGCGCTTAAAGTAGATGGCCGCGCAAATGAGCAGGAATTGTCTATCCAATCATGACCCGTTTTACTTTATCCCGTCTCGCTTGCGTGCTTTTATATCTTGAAGGTAGCCTCTAGGCTATCGCGCAAATGAGCGGTATTTCTTCCCACCAGCCAATGCGGAGTTCGCTCGGGGGCATGATCTTTGAGGACACGCACTAGAAGACGGCACGATGCGCTGCTAAACTCTGTGGTCATTCGCGGAAAGATTGTCTAGTAAGACGTTCTAATATACCTCTGTAAGCGTGGGACTCAGCGGTTTCCCGCGCGGATAAGCAGCACTATGGTTTCGACTTGCATCTCAAAATCTTCCGTAGATTGCATCCGTTTGCTATTCACCATCGATCTGCTAAGCATGTATAGTGGCGTGTCGCTAGCAATGGTTACAAATGTTGGTGCGTCTTCTTTTCGACTGGTAGTACTGGCTGTTGCACTATCGTCCTCGTTCGCTGTGATCCTCGCCTTACCTGCGTTTCCTCTATCACCAAACCTCTCACCTGTCCAAGTCAACACCTCATCACTCCTGATCTCTCCGAATCCCGGTCCCCCACAGGAACCAACGTGTCCCCCCACCGAGCAATGGGGCGTCACCCTTGGACACCCCTCATACGACGACTGCGACTACATCCTCTCAAATCTCTATCCCAAAGACCCACTGTCCAAACCAGTCCTGCGCAATTTCTATGTTGCACCTGCGGACGTATCGCACACGATGTCGAATTTCAAACTGCCGTATGAGGAGAGTTACCGTAAGCGATTTTCCAACAGACCAAGCAGAGTGAGAGGGATCTTTGGTTGTGCTAATCTCGCAGCAGAGACATGCAGCATCCAAATGCTATTAGCGGCGGACTTCATCAACATCCCGAACGATGAGGCCACCTGGAATGATCTCAGAGGCGCGACGCGGACAATACTCAGGACGTGCATTCGCGGGAGGGGATTAGGAGGCGTGATCACCAAGAACGGTATATTTTCCATACCAATGACCCATATCAGACATCATAGTTTCCGATAATTGACTTGCGGTTTAGGAAAGCATGGCAACATAGAAATTGTTGTATACGGCAAAGATTCAATATTCGCTAAGAACCAGATATTGAAGAACTCGCCAGACCAACTCGCTAGATCGATCGCGGCACAGGAGTTGTTGGAGTTGATGAACATAGTGATAGTTCCGAAAACTGATCAGCCAGAGTCCGAGGTCAGGACTGTGGCAAATAGAACAGTCAAACCCACAAGCGAAAGCCGGTTGATCACTGCCGGGGTACATGTAGAGACATCTTGATCGGCGTGGCTCTTTGTGTGACAATGTTGTGATAGAAGGATATTCTGGATTCAGGGCTCGTCAGACGAAGCCATAACACGGCTTTTTTGCTTGCGTGACGTGGAATTGGGAAGTCAAATGTGTCATAGTATTAGACCGAGAAGACAAGGTGCTCTCGACTATTTGGCAGTTGACCATCAAGAGAACACTAAGACAGCTCCTGCAGCTCTGCAATCGAGATAACTTGTAGAACAAGATGAAACGAAGAGGCCCTTGCTGGAGAATTGTACGGAGCAAGTTCGCGCCAGCATGAAAGGTGGACATCCTTCCATTCACTCTCGCAATGCTTGACATTTTGAACGGAAAGCAACTAGGCACCTCTTTGGCCTATTATGGCTACCAGGACCATGGCACAACGAAAGAGCCCAGAATATTCTTAACTCGATCAGTTCCACAGCTTCAGTGCTCCTGAACTTCCCGGTACGGACGGATCAATCCGGTGGGCTGGTCCACCCATCGACCTGTCGACCTGGAACTTCAGCTTTCTAGCGAAAGTACCGTCCAGTATGATCAAGCGCACGATGACATCGCCGGTATGCTAAGTGATCTTGTCAAGGTCCCAAGGCTCTTTGGGGAATAACCCTATCGATAGAGATTCGAATTTGATCAGGTTAGAGGTAAGCCAATGGGGACACAATTGTATCGAATTTGGCATGGCTATGTGTTTCTCGCCAATGTCACCAATTCCATGTATCACGCCAATCCCCCGTGTTGGTTTAGCTCTCTTGACCACGGTCGTCAGCTCATTCTTGGTCGACTAAGTCCTATGGCGTCCCTTTGCAGGTCCGTCGGTGACATCTAAATGTCCGAGATCACTGTCATTGACATAATCTGATCGCTCGTCGCATGGTTTGTCCCAGATATCGATATGACCGTAGTCCGTCTCGCTCTCCATTGATGTCGTATAGTTGCGCACAATGAAAAAATTGTTAATTTGGCAGAAACATATAGAAAGGCTGTTCTTCAAAAACAGATCCGATTCTAGAAGCTCCAAGTGATGGGATGAAAGCTGAATGCCTTTGCTGGGTGCTGGCGTTTCATGAATAGACACACCCATTTTCACTCCTTCTGCCTGCTTGATAACGAAATAACGTCGTTTTCCGTTTGAAGCATTAGCGCCGCTGGATCCCGTGCTTCCATCTAATGTCTTCACCGTGGAAGCAACGTTACCAGTCATCAGCGACGTATCCTCGTGTTGCGATTCCAGCAGAGGACCAGTCATACAAAACAGAGGTGAAAACTCAGGGAATTCGGCTATGGCCGCACCACCGAATATTTATGAATCTCAATGATATCAGGCTGTGACCGTCGCCAGCATTGGCAACCTCTAGAATGGTACCATCAAGGCCGCTGCTGTGGATCTCGACCACGCGTTGGCGAGGTTCCGGCTGTATTATCGTGACCTTGGGTTCGAAGTGTGTGAAAGCCAACGAGATCTGGGTAACAATCCAAGTCTTGGCGTAATTCAAGCAGTTTCTTAAAGCTGACCTTGGCCACCGGAAGCGTTATGCTATCGGATTTCTGGGGGCGACGGGTGACGATATCAACCTCTCTCTCTCAAAATTGTGGGTACCCCAAGAGGCACCCTTTACCATTCTTGGCGACGCTGACGGCGTCCAATACCCCCGCTTTTTTCGAGGAGGAAAGTATAGGTCTAAGACCGGCGAATCGACTTCGACGACACCTGTCATCATTCTAGCTCTGATGCGAGGCTCAATATAGTTTTTGCGTAGAACACGCTGTAGCTTCAGCCTGGTATAGAGGGCCAAAGTGAAAGTTTAAAAAACGGGTGATACGCCGAGGACGGCGAGAGGAATACCAACGTAGGTGATGACATCTGTGGCCGACACTATGCTGTAAGAAGGCCAGTGTATGACTGATCCATAGATGCGGAAGCACTGTGGTGAGTGAAGTAGACTTGAGCAGGTAAAGCTACTAATGGAGAATGAGGTCAAGTAGCCTGCCTGACGTTCAGAGCTACTTTTCAGGTTCTCATCAAAAAATGCTTGGATATTCCCCAAAGATGACCTTTTGATTCACAGTGCTACAAAAGCGTTAAGGATATATTGAACGGGCTTTGGTCTGATGTAGTTGTCCAAGCTATTGAGCATGCTAGCCATATCTGGCTTAGCTGGGATTGAATCCGCCACACTACCTAGGTATTTGTACGAAACTGTGAGTACAATTATCATTTTAATATCGCACGTCGACTAGAGACTACGATGTAAAAAAAGGTGACGATAAGACGACAAGTTTTCATATCCTAAATTAACAATACAACTTATGACTAACTGCTGCTGAAACGAAGGCTCCCGTCGGCCCGAGTTCCCCCTGCCACCAAAAGACCCGTTCCAACGGCCAACGATTGAGTTGCATGCTATATCTTATCACTACTCTCGATGAGGAAGGAGGAAACCTCGTCGATGCAACATGTGGAATTGCTGGCCAATCACTGCGCATGGGACGAAATGACGCTGGACATGAGATAAAGATAGCCTCGAAATCATTATTTCCTTTTGCAACATTTCTCTCGTTACACCTTTATCACGACTATTGTGTGGTAACAAAGACTCAGTTTCTCTCCACATCTGGCCGTCTGAGAGGAAGGCGATCGAACATGGCGGACTCCCTCGACGATAAGACGGCCCTTGAACGGAAAGACCCCGAAACCACCACTGGCGCTGTCATCGAGATCCCCATCAACGCATCCGGGCATAAGCAAGAACTCGACCGCAATTTCAGCTTCCTCGCCATCTGCGGACTCGCCGTCACAAGCGGCAATGTCTGGGTGGCACTTGGAGGAAGCGTGACCGTCGCAATCTATAACGGCGGTCCTCCAGGCGTGCTCTATGAATTCATCGTTGTATCCGTCTTCTACTGGCTCGTTGCAGCTTCAATCGCCGAGCTCGCTTCTGCCATGCCGTCCTCTGGTGGGGTCTATCACTGGGCTTCTATCACGGCCGGGAAATACGGTCGCGTTTGCGGCTGGTTTGCGGGATGGTGGAACTTCCTCGCTTGGGTCTTCGCGATTGCTGCTACTACAGAAATCATTGGGGCACAAGCTGTGTCCATGTACGCGGCTTTCCATCCGGCATTCGTGACGCAGAGGTGGCACGTCTTTGTTGCTTACATCATTGTCAATTGGCTGGCTTGTTTCTGTGTGCTTTTTGCCAACTGGATCCTTCCATTACTGGAACAGGGAGGAGCTTTCCTCATCGTGGCCGGCGTTCTGATCACAATAATTGTATGCGCATCAATGCCGCCTATGCACGCTACCAACGCGTTCGTCTGGAGTGAATGGACAAATACGACTGGGTATTCGAGCAATGGATTCGTTTTTTTACTCGGCATGTTAAACGGTGCCTACTCTGTGGGGACTCCAGATGTAGTAACTCATCTCGCGGAGGAGATTCCCAAGTCAGAGCCCTTGAATGGTGTCAAGTTGGCTACAGCGTTTACTAATCCTCCACCACCAGGCCAAGCAAGAATATCCCCAAAGCCATCCTCGCCCAATTCGTCATCGGCTTTATCACAGGCTTCACTTATCTCATCTCCATCTTCTACAGCATATCCGATCTCAATAAAATCCTCGATAGCACCTTCCTCTTCCCCCTCGCCTCCATTTACCAACAAGCGACCGGCTCAGCCGGAGGAACCCTCGGCCTGCTCATCATCGCCATCTTACCCAACCTGATAGCACTACTAGGCTGCTACCTCACCGCTAGCCGCGTGTTCTGGACCTTAGCACGTGATAACGCGACTCCCTTTGCTGGCTTGTTCAGCCGCGTCAGCCACAAGCACCGCAACCCTTTCAACGCGATCCTCCTCTGCGCCGTCATCTCCACCATCCTAGCCTGCATCTACCTCGGATCCCAAGCGGCTTTCAACGCCTTTATAGATTCTTTCGTCGTGCTATCAAGTATATCCTACCTAGCAGCCATCCTCCCGCATCTGCTAAGCCGACGGTCCGAAGTAGCGCCAGGCTGGTTCTGGATGAGAGGGCCTATCGGCTTCATCGTAAACGCTGTCGCTTGCATGTACATCATAGTCTTTGTCGTGATATTCTGCTTTCCGTTCTCCATGCCCGTTTCGGCGCCCACGATGAATTACTCCAGCCTTTTGACTGGCGGCACGACGATATTTGTAGCGCTGTTTTGGTTTTGGCGGCAGCGGGAGTATGAGGGACCGAAGTATGTTGCTCCTGATGCTGATACGCTGGCTGCGGACGCCATATAGCATTTTGGATGTATGATTTTGGAGTGTATGAGTTTGGGGATGTGGATATATACTATAGTGGAACATAAGGGGCCATGATCTGTTATTTGTCCAAATTATTCGTAGTGTCGCCATTCCTGCTGTGGGTGCCGAACCACCTCCAAACCATGAGACTGCTGTTACTCTGTGCTTAGACAATACACCCCAGCGACAATCCTCGACATAGCAGGGACTGTCTGATAGTGAATTCCAGGGGGCGAGATACCTACGATTGTGGCTAGCAATTAACTCGGCTCCAGCTACCTGATTTCACATTCAACTCTTCTCAACACTCGATCACTAGGCGCAGGAACCCCAGTCTTGTTAGTTTGGCCCATCAGCGTCGCCGTATACTGATTCCAAGAATAAGTCTTTATTTACCCCTAAACAAACCGACATTTTGACATATCTCGGAGGAAAATATGGTGGATATAAGAGGCAACGGCCCCGCCTTCCAACGCAACTCTGCGCGTACTAGGAAGACATCTGTCAAATTCCAGAGGCAATTTTGCTCGAGTCCATAGAAAAATGGCAAGCAACAAACTCAACTACCCAGGTAACTCTGCTCGAAATTATAGAAAACGATCAGCAACAGAGGTAAGAACTCCAACCTCAGAAGTTATATTACGTACGATAATGAACATATAATAGATAAAAGGGGGAATATATCCGACTACAACAGCAATGTGTCTTTCGTCGACGAGAATCTGTCAAACGAAGAGGATAAAGTTCCGACTCCTAATGACAATAGAGCTCTCGAGCGGAATGGTCGAGCGAAGGAAAAAAGCTATAGTATGGCTTTGGTGCGGAGGCAAGACGGCAACGTTCACGGGAGTAGATTAATGTTGGGTGATAATTTGGCTTTGAGAGGAACTAAGGTAACAAACATGGGCAATGGACTGAGCTGGACGCAGGTTGGTCGGCAAGGTTAGAGGTATAGAATTCTTAATAGGTTTGATTCTTATTGGCGCTGGTACAATGGTGTTGCGGTTTTTAATTTTCTCGGGATACCTCGTATACAAGTAGTGATTGTTGCTAGCCCAATGTAGCTTAGTTTGAGCCGACATACGAGTGAGTGACCTCAGTCAGGCGTCATATTAATCCTGTATGAATAGACGTTTCCTTTTTGCTACGACAAAGTTGTAGCAGCTCTGCGAGAAGTCGATCTCCCTATGTGTATAAACACAATGGACGTGTACTGGACTTCGTGGCGGTGCTGTGGCTTACCTGCATGCTTACGAAACATCTGCAGGGCATTTCTCAGCCCCCGTGCCGCATGCCTGCAGGCTGTCTTTGCGCAGCACCTAAAGAGCGAGGATTCCCGATCACCACAAATACCCCTTTGTTTGAGTGACTGCTCGCGAGAGACAGATTCCATACAGCACCGCATAAACACTGCCCCAGCAAAGAATTGCTTCTGGTAGCCTTCGGACTTTGCGCGTTTGTGCGGACTCGTGTCTCGCTATTGATTCGCAGCTCATCCTGCCAAATCCTTCGATGACTGATTGGCTGGCATCTTTTGGAAGTTCACCACGGCGTGCGGTGCTGAGGAGACTAGGCTCTGTCATCCTTGCCATCGGGTCTACCTGCCACTTTTCAGTAGAATCCTGTCATCAGGCGGTAGCTCGGGCATTTGAGGCGGCCCACTAGACATCTGAGGCACCTCACCAGCAAAAGTCCGTGGCATTGATCGACGGCCATCTACCGGATGGATCCGGTCACCGCCATCGGCCTAGGCGCCAGCGTACTCCAATTGATCGGCGTAGCCGGTAAAGCTATCAAGTACCTCAACGACATCAAAAATGCCCCACGAGAGCGTTTCCGCCTTGCTCAAGAGCTAAATAGCCTGTACGGGATACTTATAGAACTCGAGAATCGCGCGGATGAGGCAAAGGCCAGCGGAGATGACGACTGGTTGAGAGGTGTCCAGTCGCTTACTTTCAAGTTCGGCCCCGTTGAACAGCTAGAAACCGCGCTGGAGCTGATTGTGAACAAAGTCAAGCCGGTCTCAAGGTTTAAAAAGGTCGGCAAAGCACTTGTATGGCCATTTACCAGAAGGGAAGTTGAGGAATTACTGAGGCAGGTTGAAAGGCAGAAGTCGACTATCATTTTCGCTCTGCAGGGGGACCAAATCAGCCTAGCAAAGGCCATCAAAGCCGACACCATGCACATACCCGCTCTCATCAACGGAGTCCAGGATATGTCAATCGGAGTGGCGTATCTACAGGATCGTCAAGAAGTGGAAGCGGTTCAGAAGGTCGTTGACTGGTTTTCCCCTCTAAGCTTCGGCGACCGGCACAATGATGTCCTCTCCCGTCGGTGTGAGGGAACTGGGAGTTGGTTCCTTGAGACACACGAAGCCTCCGCGTGGTTATCAAGCGCGGGCAAGGCCTCTTTGTGGTGTAGTGGAATCCCTGGAGCTGGCAAGACCACCATCGCCGCTATTGTGACCGAGCACATCGAGCGAACCCTCATACACGATCAATCTGTTGCCGTCGCCTGCATCTATTGTAATTACAAGGACAAGATGGTCCAGACTCCAGCCAACCTCCTGGCCAACATCTGGATGCAGATACGCCAGAAAGGAGGACTTTCTCCTGAAGTGGAAGAGCTTTACGCCTCATCTGTGACCAAAGGATCTTCTACTCGCCCAAGGCTTGACCAAATTATCAAGATTCTCAAAGCCGAGGTCGACCGGCATGCCAGCGTCTATGTCGTCATTGATGCTCTGGACGAGTGCGAGCCTGCGTACAAATTACGGCTTCTCACAGAGTTGAAGGTCCTCCAGCCGAAACTGAAGCTAATGGTTACCTCCCGCTACTATGATGCTTTCGGCGCCGATATGGGAGTCGATACTGATATTGAGATAGTTGCAAGCGATGATGATATCAAACGTTACGTACAAGAGAGAGTGTCCATAACTCCTAGACTTGGCCGCTGGATCGCTGCGGACTCAACCTTGCAAGCGACGATTGAGACAAAGGTCATGGAGGCAGCACAGAACATGTAAATCGGCCGCTGATTCCCCAAACGGGTTGTGAGCCATGATTCGATGCGGATGCTGATTTGGGTATTTTTAGGTTCCTCATGGCGAAGCTTCTTCTGGACTCTCTTGTTACCAAGATGACGCGAAAGGCGCTGCAAAAAGCTGTCGGAGAGCTACCAAAGACCCTCCTCGACACCTACGATGACGCATTGAGCCGGATCTATAAGCAGAACGAGGATGAGAAAGAGCTCGCTGAGCGTATATTATCTTGGGTATCATACGCTTTCCGGCCTCTGAACATCATGGAGCTTCGACATGCACTTGCCGTAACAACAGGTGAAGACCACTTTGATGAAGCCAACATGCCAGACGAGGAAGATCTCCCATCTGTTTGTGCGGGGCTCATCTACATTGAAGAAGGTAGCAAGATCGTGCGTTTGGCTCACTATACCGCGCAGGACTATCTTGAGAGTATCCGCGACCAGAATTTCGTTGATGCGCGTCGCTTACTAGCAGCGACCTGTCTCACTTATTTGACTTACGATGGCAACCGACTTTGCTGCAATGGCCGGCATTACGTCTACCGCTTTGGCCGAGATGGATATTACAGCGACAACGTCGATGGGCTCTTGGGTTGTCCTTATGCCATGCAAATATCCAATGCAAGTGAGACAGCAAAGGATGTAGTAGACGGCGACAAGACTTCCTTCTACCATGCTCAGAGTGGAACACCGCTAGCACTCTATCAATACGCAGCGCACTACTGGGCACGTCACTTAAAAGACCGTCTTGAGAAAGACTTGCAATCGTTGGCCGTGAAGTTCATCCTCGATGACATGAACCGTCAAATGGCCCTCGGAGTTCTCCGACAGCTCTGGTGGACCTCACGTATCAAGGGACCGTTGACAGTCGCTGTGCACTATGATCTCCGTCATATATGCCACACCCTTCTAGAAGAGCAAGTTTATGATTTAAATAACGAAGAAGGGGAAGGCTACAATTCTCTACTCTCAGCCGCCGAGCTCGGACGCGATCAAGTCATCAAGCTACTCCTGCAGCAAACAGATCTCCAAAGCCTCATAGATGCCGACCGAGATTTCGTCCTCACGCCCCTCGATTGGGTCGCATGGACCGGTAATCGTGCTGCCGTTCGGTTTCTCCTACAAAGCGCCGGCCTCGTAAGTGCAGACGATATGACACCAGAGTCGGGCAGATACTCAGTCTACAAATCGCAGAAGCTGCCAGAGAATGATGATCCACTAATTGAAGGCCTCGAATCCATGAACATATTCGCTACGATACCACTCATTGCAGTCCTCAGCAACGTCTCGACCCTCCAGACAGCACTTTCCCAACCGGGCGCCGACATCGAAGACCGCGACCCCACGCACGAAAAGACCGCTCTACACCACGCCTCACAATCCGGTCGCACCGGCATTGTCGAGCTACTCCTCTCCAAAGGTGCTGATGTGCGAGCCAGGGACTCCTACGGCGAGACTCCCCTGCACTACGCCGTCGACAGCGGTAATCTAGAGGTAGTCAAGCTTCTTGTAGAGGCGGGCAGCGATCTAGACGCGCGCAATGAGCTCGGGAAATTGCCGACTGAGATGCTACGCATCAGGGCGGGAGACATACCGTGTCCGATCCATCAGGATGAGCTGTGGGAGGAGACACATGAGTTTTTGTTTGGGGAAGTGGTGAGGAAGGAGGGCAAGGAAATGCAGTTGAAGCAGACGGAGAGGAGGGACTTGCGGAAGAAGTATGGGGCCAGCTGGAGGGAATTCCATAAAGAAGCTGAGTAAGAAGGGGCTTGAAATGCTGCTATGCTAATTTAGGGCAGTATGAGGTTATCAGGACAAGATGACAAATTTTGGTTCGTTTGAACCTCCAGTGAAATTTAGTGCGGGCTTGATGATTATCATGCGTTACGTGGCTGACGGGGCTCTGTAGGTCTCCGCAATGATCGTTTGTTGCCAACAAAGCTCAGCAAACACTTCTAACACTACTTAAGTATATGAGAGACCTGCTATGCCCTTCACTAGATCAACTTTTTCCAATATGCTAGCCCGATGGGCTAACAATCCTCTGATTCGTCTCCTCGAGACACGTAAACTTGTTTATTGGAAGAACAACCTGCAAGCCCAGGGAATGCGAACAATGAAACCTCAATTCGCGTATAATTGGTATACCTCAGACCGATGACTCATCAGCAGCTATCGTTAAAATGATCCGAATGGCCACCATACATTCCGTTGACAAAGAGCCCCTCGTCTCTCCCTTCCCCAATCTCAAAACCATCAGAGCCTTTCTATTCATCTCATCCATGGCCGCGCCTTCTTATTTCCTCCGATAACAACAGAGACCGCACAGTATCGGGCGAATCTAACTCGAAGTAGTAATTTAGCGCCGCTCAAGTGCTCATTGAGCCTCACGCATAGGCCTACAGATGCATATAGATCAACCTGAGTTCTTTCTCCACTCCCAGGAGACTGGGATGCTATATATGAGATACGCTCAGATAATGTTTGACAGGTAGGTAGGTCTGTGGGATTTTAGTCCAACCGTGCTTAACACTTCACCCTAGTGGCGTTTTCGTGCGGGTCATGTCGGAGAATAGGTCTATTATCTTGATGGTCTGGTACTTATAAGTTGTGACTTATTGGCAGCAAACCCTTTAAGAATGCGCAAAATGATAGGGCTTGTTTATTATATACAGTATGTATGTATGGTACTTGAGAACGATGATATCGCTGACAGCAATACTAGTATCTTTGAACGGAATAATGGACCTGCCAAAGCTTTTGGATGACGGAAGGCGACGGGTTTCTTCGTTGCCTGGTGCTAAAGCACAATGACGCCCAGGCTTGTCTTTGCTTGCATGTCTGGCTCGGCCATACTGTGCAAGATTTCACCCTTTGTATGTCTGGTTCGGCCGGATCGTCCGAGATGTCAGTGTCTGTAGGCTAATTCGGCTGCAGGGTGTAAAGTTTTATCCTTTGTATGTCTGGTTCGGCCGTACAATGAGAAGTGTCGTGGAATTTCTTTGTGCAGGAAATATAGCTATCGGTCGAGTCAATGCGGAGTATAGTGTCATGTGGCTACTTGTCAGCTCACGTTGGGACTGCTCACCTGGTCATTTCCTCTCGATATACCCATACAACCTTCGACCAGCTCTTTTACGTATCCCCAGTCTCCCATCGCTGCTGCAAAAGAATCGAGAAATTTCATTCTTTGGAATTCACCGCCCCAATTGTTCGAATAACTCTACATACGATTACGTCGGAAGGCGAGTAACTGGTCTACTCCTGTTGTTTCTTCTCAAAAGCTTATCCTTGTGTACCACAGTATGACAGTCAGAGGCGCGACCCAGAGAGAGAGCCCGGATGGCCATGTTCTCTTCATAGAAGAAGTTCGGAAACACCTAGGTGTGAGGGCCAACGCCGGCGAAAGTTCTTCCTTAGCCGATACCACTGAAGCCCGCCCCAAGGTCCTCCTCATCGGTCACGATATGCATGACGATTTTCGGAAGATGAGACAAGACGGCATCGATCTCCAAAAACACTTCCAGTACTCGGGTTGCGTCGATACCCAGGTAGTTGTCGAGGACACAGGTGCAAGCATGGGCAAAGGGTTGAGCGATCTGATGTCACACTACGGACTGGCCAAGCTCGAGTTCAAAAAAGTAGGTTGCCCCAAAATGCCAGGCAAATGGGTTTTTGTGGGCGCCCACTGCTCGGGCAACGATGCCGTCGCAGCTCTGGAGTGTCTTATCGATCAAACCTTCGATCTGAGCCTAAGGACACCCGGCGACAAGGACTCCGTAGGCCTGGAAGATCTGCCTGAAGACTGGTTGAAGAAGCCTCTCCAAGGTATGAACATGGATTTGATCCTGCTGAGCTACGACACCGAAGGCGTAGAGACGCCTAACTACAAACCCAAAGTCCTCAACCGTACGAGCGAGCACGGCTTCGCATGGATGCGCGTCGCCGACTTTGCCCATACCCCGCCCGGAGACCATGGGCAAAACTGGCGTTCCTTTATCCGCGCACGACACTGGATAAACCACGATTTCCGCAACTTCTCGAATTGGTTCTACTGCATCGGCAATCCGAAAGGCTTCTGGCCAAAGTATGGCGAGTCGCAGTATTACCATGTGTCGGAGGGTCCTGCCCCGTTCCATAAGCTATTCGAGGAGCTGGCAAATGCCACTGCTGGCGCTCTCAAAGGGCTTGATACCGTCGAAGAAGTCACAGCGATGCTCGAGCAGACAACACTCGAGGAGGAGCGCACACCGGCCGGTGGACGTAACATGGCCATTACCCGAGGCAATGCGAACAATGTTAGAGGAAACATGACCAACAGCAGAAGCATGCAGCCTCCCTTCCGAAGCAACGCAAAAAACATCGGGGAGGATACCGCGGAGATTAGAGGCAATTATTCAAGCTGGGCAGAGATTGCTGAAGGCAACGAAGGCAAGAAGTTCCAACAGCAAGGCCAGTGAGACATGAACAAGCAAGAAGGGTGGACGGCAGCGAGGGCTTTTACAATCGGAAGCGAATGTTAGGGTACTACTTCCTCCCTCATTAGGTAGACAGGCCAATGTCGAAATCCTCTAACAACACAACTCACGCCTGCGAATGATGGAGTACGCCTGACTGATTTAAAACAGCGTGAAGGCTATGGGGAAACGCGGAAGCGCCTTGATTCCGAGGGTCCAGCCCCTTTCCATCAGCTATTCCAGGAATTTGCGAGTGCCATTGTTGCCAACGAGAGCTCTGATGCGATAGATAATGCTAATACAAAGGGAATTGCCACTAAAGAAGAGGTCACCATATCACTCAAGAAGACACCGATTGAGAGAGATACAAGGGTCTCCGAGGAAAATGTAATAGAAACGAGAAGTAACAGCCCAGCCTCCGAGACAATATTATGCGCAGTAGAGGAAATATACCAAACTTCAGAGGCAATTCCGCTTGGGCAAGTGAAAATAAGGCAAGTAACGGAGGCTACAATCCCAATGACAGAGGCAATTTCGCTCGAGATTGTAGTGATATAACAGGCAAAAAAGGCTATAAACCCAACTATAGAGGTAGTTTTGCTCGAGAAAGTGAAAACCTGGCAAGCAACAGAAGCTATAGAAAGCGACGTGCCAAGCCTCTTCCGGCTCGGCCTCTGTATGGGACTTCTTTCAACTAACCCCATATTTCTGCACCCCACAAGATTTGAGGTCACGTTTGGTACCCGGATGTTTGTAAGTTGAAACATATACATTGATGAAGAATCCTATGTACAGAAACCGAGTTTGGATGGTGGGTAACTCTATGAAAAAACCCCTTTCCCTAGTGATGTGTTCTCGAAGTTTCCACGCTAATAGAAAGACATATCACCCTGGTAAAAATGCGCTTAGAGTTGATTGAATCACAAAGCGGAATATCGACAATTCCCTCCAAAGACTCAAAGAAACTTCCCGGCCCCATAGTTGCTGCGACTATTGTCGCGGATTATATACCGATGCTCAACCCCCTGCCAGATGCCTATGGCTCACAGCTGTTCCTCGGCATTAGCATCCTATCCTTCATACTCCTCATAACCCCATCGAAAGTCTGGCTGCTGCAACGCCCCATCCCCGTTGCGAGCCGCCCATCACCCCCTCCTCATCGGCGCACGGAAATGCTCCGATTCTCCGGGACCCTCCACTTCTCAACCGCTCCACCCCACGCCTTCATCCGGAACAGCTCCGGCAGCGGCTCCAACCGTTGCGGATTCCTCTCCGACTTCCACCAAACCCGGAAGGCGGCCCGGATCTCTCGATACTGCACGTTGTAAGTATCCTCCAGATTCGTGACCGGGGCCGCTTCACCCGTCCACTCCCGGTAGGCCTCTCGGGTGTATCTGAGGGCACGGTCGAGGCTCTGGGATTGCGAGCCGTTCACCGGCCGGACATCACGGAAGTCGGAGGGTGCTCCGGGCTCCGTTTGGGCTGGCGGAGGCGCCTGTGGTGGATCTGGGCCCTGTGCGTCGGCCGCTTGGGGAGCTTCGTCGAAGTTTATAACGGTCCCGTTTATATATATGTGCTGTGGCGGCGTCAGGTGCGCGTCCTCCACGGGAGCTTGGGACACATCCGGGATGTTCTCATTGATTTGTAGTTGCGGTGGAGGTAGGCGCGCGTCCCATTCTGCCTCGCGCTCTTTCTGCACCGTTGCAGCCTTTGGATTCTGTGCCGGGGGTGAGTAGTAGCTTTCGGTGGCGGTTATATCCCGTCGCTTCGGCTTTGGTTCACTGGTGTGCTCCTCCCAGTTACTCTCTTGCTCTTGCGGCTCCTGTTCCCCGATATCCTGCTCCGGGACATAGGCGTCCTGCTCCCATTCACCCACGTGATCTCCCCTTCTGTGCTTTCCGAGGATCTGCTCAGGCAAATGTCCCTCGGAAAGACGTTCAAGGTACTCCGAATGACGGGAGGGTGCATCAGTCATGCCTTGGTCCACACCCTCGTTCGAAGCAGCAACAAGAATCGGGCCTCCGTACACATCGCCGTTTAGTGGATTGCTGGGCCCAATATCCGCAGCTGGTCTGTCGTAGAAGCCGTGATCGGTACCACTGAAATTTCGGCCCGCTGCATCCCCATATGATCCGAGTAAGTCCGGCATGGTCCTAAAAAGCTCCTCTGGTGACTTCAACGGGCCCTCTGTGTCCTCATTGAAATCGGACACAGGCTGTGAGGTCCCAAAAGGCTCCTCTAGCGACAATAATGGAACTGGGGCACCTGCTGCGTCATAATACCGTCGTCGAGGAGTCCTTTCATACTGAGCACGACGCTGAGGCCCAGGGACTATACCAGGATTTTCGTCTTTGCGTTGTCGCTTGGACGGGGCGCCATTTTCTGAATCTCTATCCGCTTGGACGCTGGACTCAAATTGGCCGGCCTGGTATCCCATATTCTGTAGTTGGCCAATCTGCTGCCGTTCCGACGGTGAAATTTCCGCGCCTCGCTCCTCCTGAGTCTGGTTTTGGATCACCGGACTTCCAGACTCGACATAACCGTATTGGGCATTATGGGCTGATCTTCCCACTCCTGCGGCCTCCTTTTTCCTCGTATATATATTCTGGTCAACTTCGTCTGAATCTTCGCGCCCACGTCTTCCCAGAATCTGTTTGGGCGCTTGATACAATCTGCGACCGCCTTGACCCAAAGTGTCTCCTTCATGCTTCGGAGCACCATTCGTGCCATTGATGAACCCTTGGTGCTGAACAGGTGGACCGTCTTGAATGTTGTAGGGATAGTCAGGAGATGCATTATGCTGTGGCTGATACTGCAACCCCCGGTAGTTGTTTTGCCCGATAGAGCCTTGTGCTGACCACATCTGCCCTCTGCATTCCTGCTGCAATTGGTCCAAGCGGGTATCAGTCTCCAGCCCGATGCCCTGATAGTATGGTACCCTTTGGTTCTCCGCAAAATGATTGTTGCCCAGAGAATGCGCCTGCTGGTTTCCTGCGGAGACGTTGATGTTTTGATACGGTGACGGGGCTGTACCATATGTGCCACTGTACGAGCGACCTCCAGCCTCCAAGGTACTCGTGTTCTGGTACGGCGTCGGTGCTGCACCAAACGTGCCATAGCGCTGTGGTTGCGAAGACGCCGGCTTTCTATGACCATTTCGCGAGCGACCTCCAGACTTGCTCTTCCGTTGAGCAGGATTCGAGTCTTGATCATAACCATCCTGGTCCTCACGAGGACGCTTTCCGAACGCACTGCTGGCCTTCCCTGCATCTGCTTCAGCCTTCTCCTTGCCTTTCTCGATCTTCCTTAGTGTCTTTTGCAAGTTCTTGTTCCGAGTCTCCTCATCCAGTGCTCGCGACTCCCCCGCCCTCATTCCGTGCTTTCCAGTGTTTCCTAGCTTCACTGAGTCCTGCTCCCATGGGAACAGGTCCCTCGCGAACCCTCTCGTGGAGCCGGTCAGGGAAGGATCAAATCCGTTTTCAGCGAAAAATGCCTTCAGCCCTTTCCTAATCTTGTCGGTGCCTTGACGTATGTTCCCTGCCACTGTGCCTTTCTCGTCTCGGAAGCGCTGCGAAGGCATGTTTACGTGCGTGTTAGGACTTCCGATGTATTTGGTGATCAGATCATACGTCTTCGGCTTTTTCTTTCTGATCCACCTTGGCATTCTGGCCCACTCATCTTTCTGCGATATGCTCGTGTTTCTAAGTCGCATCACTTGCAACTTGTACCCTTCTGTCTCAGCCGAGAGCGTGAGTGGCATGTCCAGGTGCTTCTTGACAGGATTGTTGTGAGGGTCCAACAGAATCTTGTTGTCCTCAAACCAGAATCCGGGATTTGGCCGGGGGTTAGGCTTGCGCTTCTTCTTCGCTTGGCCCTTGTCCCCAGCCTCCTTATCATCTGGGTCGCCCTCTGGCTTGTCTTTGGGCCAAACGAAACATTCGTCTGGGCAGTCATCACGGTTCGGACCCAAGTTCTGATGTGGGAGAAAGAAGGCCGTCTCGCTATGTGGCAACCCATCGGTGGGATCAGGATGCACTGTAACTACCAGTCAGTCTTGGCACCTGACGATCGGATAATTATACTCACGATATTCCTTATCCGGATGCTCAGCCTGGGCTCGCGCGATCAGAATCTCCCTATAGCTATGGTGTGAAGCGGACTCCTCTGTACACGTCAGCATGGTTCATTCAAACATGGAGCAGAAGCATTATAACTTACGCCATTGCTCAGTCTCCGGGTTGAACCAGACTTCGGCACCGTTTCTCGTCCCGGTACGACCCCATCCTCGCCTACGCCGACTCTCTATTACGCCCGTGTCAAGATCTATCCGGTAGTAGTTTAGATCATCTGCAGGGTTGAATTTCGGGTCGTTCTCTGTCACCTCCGTATCGGCCTCCTCCGCGCCTTCATGGTATGTGTTGGGTTGTTGGCTAGAGTACATGGAGTCCTCACGACCATGGGTGTTGCCGGAACCATATTGCTGCACAGTGCTTTCCGTTTGGTAAGGTGTTCCCAAGGAAAGTCCAGATGTAGATTGTGGAGAAGGATTGAGTGTGCCATAAGCAGAGTCAATGCCTGATGTATTGACTACTGATCTTTCTCCATTCTCGACAGAAACTAAGTGGGGACTAGCCGCATATGTGTCGAAATCTCGCTGTGGAATTGGCGTGTGGTAGATGGGGCTGGCGTGCTCGTGATCATCTTTCTTTGTCTGATGTTCGTCCTGTGCCACAGTGTCTGGAAAATCCGAAAAGTCTCCGTTGGCGGCATGAGCCTCGGAGTTCTTCCACTCTTCTGAAGAGAACACGTCAGATTGGAACTGGAACTGTTGTTCATCATCCCCACTTGTCAGACCGACTTGTTGTTGGCCAAAGTTGGACGTGTCGCTTGCTGGATTCATGTCTTGAAGTTGTGTTATCTTTTCTTGACCTTCCCTGAGTTCGTTGGGCTCGAACAGATGATGCTGAGACACGCTCGTCAGACCACCTTGCCGTTGACGGTAGCTGGAAGAGTCATTGTCTGGGATGGTGTTTTGGAGACTTGAAACTTCTCCTTGGGCTTCCACAATCTCGTTCGGCTCATACCGCGATTGGTGTTCCCCGTATGACAGACCAGCCTGTGGATGCCCATAGCTCGCATTGTCAAACTCAAGATTGAAGTTGGCAGGGTCGAAACCATTGATGTCGACACTATCATCAAGGCCATTGCCAAGTTGAAAATCTCCCTGCTGCAAAAAACGGCTTGGCTCGGAGTATTCAGACATAGTGCTGAGACTCGCAGAGCACGCTTTAGCTTGACTAAAGGTAGAGTGTCAGCAATGTCTTAACGTCATTGGGTTCCTAGGTAAGTGTTTGGTAAGATTAATGTTGATGCGTGGGGAAGACCTGATATGAAGAATGGAAGCGGTCCGGCCACAGAGGTGCCCAAGTCTCGTCTTGGTCATAGTGTACGTACCTGAAGGTGTTTGAAGGTTGGTGACGGAGTTGGCGAAGCTGTGTTGCCACAATATAGCGAGGGAGCGATGTGAACGAGATCTGTAGGTATCTCAATCAGTCTCATGCAAAATGTTCGAATGCTATGTGCTTTGTGGAAGCAATATGAGAACGGATGCTGCAGAAATTCGGTGATGAATGGCTGGTGGTAAGAGAACGGGAAGTTGTAAGGAAGAAGTGCTCTGATACTGGGAATGTGACCTGGAGGTCTTTGTGTCGACACTAGCCTGAGAATCTTGATGTGTTTGGAGTTGCTGTGTTTGGGTCGACACTAGCCTCAGAATCTTGATGTGTTTGGAGTTGCTGTGTTTGTGTCGACACTAGCCTGAGAATTCTGATGTGTTTGGAGTTGCTGTGTTAGGAAGATGGTGTCGAGTCTTTTCTCTCCTTTTCGGGAGACCACAAGCATATAGGGGTAACTACGCGTTTCCTTACCTCAATAAGCAGCAGTAACCACCGAGTAGCCTCAGCAAGAGGACCAGTATGCCACAGAAAGACTCCAGAGTCTATCAGTCAAGGATCTCGTCCACAGCATCATCTTTTCCCAATGTCAACAAAAGGCTTAGCGCCGGCGGAACCTAGCTTCATCGTGCCAAGACTGCTTCTATGTCGTAGCCTCCGGCCGGCACCCGCTGACCACTGGTTCATCATGCTGGTGTCATCGTCTTGCAGCGAAGTCGGCCCCGCCATCATATCAACATCTCTTCGTGCTTCCCAATTTTGCAAGCCAACCTCGACAGAAAACAATGGCTTGGCTGATGCAAACCTTTCAGTCTAGAATGATATGCCTGTATGGCTTCAGTTTCAGCTGGGGGGTATCTTCCCGGTACAAATCGAGCCCGCAAACTGAGTCGACTTCTCATGCTCCTTGAAGGACACCACAGGATTCTCAATCAGGGGAACACAGACAGATCCAGGAACAATGCTCGAAGCGGAATCGAATGTTGCTTTACCAGTCGGGCGTAGCGGCGTTGCGGAGCTCCAGTCCGAACTCATGAGGATCTCTCGGTGCTCCTATGGGAAAATCGTGGCCGTGGGAGGAATGTTTTGATGGGCTCCGATTGTCTAAGCCGAAAAACTCGTGGACCTGCATCGGGTCAGCCCTCATGGGTACTCGTATCTCATCACGACGTCCTCGAAACACACCGCTGTGTTCTGCTCTCGTGTCCTCGAAGGAAAGACATCTCGAGACGTTCTGATCACAAGGATCAAGCGCTTAATGACCATAATGGGTCAGCATGTACATGGCGGCCATGTTGATCAGCTCGTCGCTAAGGACAGGGAATGCGGGAGCGAGAAACGACAGGAGGAAGAGTAGGAAGCCCCTAAACGCTCGGTTAGACAGGTAATGGAAGGGATTGTCAAAGAACACTTACATGATTGACAGAACGCTCTCTTGGAAACTCATGTTCGGCGCGCTACACCTTCTGCGCTTCGTCCGGCTACAGAGTCGTGACCGCAAGCGGTTGTCGCGTCTTTGTGAAGTGGTGTTTGTAGACACTCGTGGGGATGCCGGCGCTGCTTGCTCTCAGGCGATCTTCCCGCTCGATCTCCGGGTCGTGCATCGCCAGCGCCTCGAGAATAGGGCCGCTGCTAGCAACTGCTTGGATTCTGATTCGAAACGTTCAGAGTACTCAGCCCTCTCTCGCTCCTAATCTTCAATGTAGGAAAAAGATCAGGTGTTTCGAAGACCTGGAGGTGATAGAAGGTAATGTAAGGCTAGCATCTCGAGATTAGGAGACAGCGGTCAAATCCGAAGAGGCTGATGTTGAATTGGGAGTTGACTCCACTATTTGGCACGGTGAAGACGACAGTTTCCTTTTTCAAACAAAAAAAAACATATTATAGTATATATAGAAGGCTGACATTGTGACTTGGCAATGTCTCTCACAGATCAAAAAGATTGTGTCTCAGAAGTTGACAGTTCTTATAGGAGTGGAAACGGGCGCTAGACTACTTCACTTGTCTGTTTCTCCAATGACATTCCGCGCGGAGATGAAGAAGATGAGTGATGAGACAGAAATAGAGAAAGATCGGCGAACGAGGTGTTTGCAGTAGTGAGTAGGAAATCCCTTAACAATAAATATTATATCACTCCAACACTTGCTCCATTCCTCGCGGGGACCATGTTGTGACCTAATACTTTCTCGCTGTCATCAACTCATGATCTTTTGATATCAAGTCATCTCTTGGCCTGATCACGAGAACCTTGTCTGCGCCTAATTGACTACTTCATACGCTTCCTGTGAACGTTCCGCTGTTTTCTGTCCTTATTGGACGCCCTCTTTGCGATCCTTGTTCCGCTAGGGTTCAGCTTGGCGAGTTGACTGTACGGAGTGCCAGTCTGTCTTTGACACTTGCTGTGCCGCATGCAGCGATTGGAGTAACACTGGTTTTGTTTGGTGCCGGCAGCTTTTTGCCGCCGAGAGTCAAATGATTGCTCGTCTTGTCCGCTGATACGCTTCGCTGTCAAATAACTATCTTTCCGGACAGTGCCTTTTAATTATATCTGCATGAATGATTTTGAGCTTTGAGATGTAGCAGTTGAAATGTCAAACCCTGGAAACATCACAAAACAGTACATAAGCCTTCGAGCAGAAGAGTAAAATGATCAGTCGTGCACTCCCAAGTTCAAATTCCGACTCTCAGGGATCTTCTCAGTCTCAAAAACTATAAGCTCATGCGCAAAGCGAGACTGCTGTAGTTTGTTTGAAAGATTCCCTAGGTCTCAAGTGACTTTCTTCCCGCTTCTTTACGCTTTTTTTGCATCGAACAATCGCAGAAGGCTACATTGCTCTAATTGTATTCCTCCAACCATCACTTAGCACAGAGGGACCAGATGCTAGGTACACAAGAAGACATTGGCTATGTCATCCTTGCGCTTGCACTCATGGCCTTTTCTGAACAATAAGGAGGGAGTGAAGTAGATACGGACTTGCAGTGGCACTGAGTGGAAGGATCTCCAACGAAAGCTTTCATCATAGGGTCTTATACCTAATGACTGCTCCTTCGATAGTATCGAAATGGAAATAGACAAGAGGCGGCACGGTGTCATCGTGTCAAAGACTTGACATGCGCTTTCCGGATGGTTCTTGATATACAGAGCGATAAGGTAGTGACTAGAACTAGCATGAATGCATGCACTGACAGAAAGAATATATGCTTGAGCTTTGGCATATCTTATTTCTGGAGGCATCTTGTAATCCACTGTGTTGGGGTAGAAATAGAGAATCAACGTACAGGAAGATACCTTCAGGTATTGTCTGATTTTGACTCCATACTGTGGCAGGTTAGCCGAAGGTCTTGGCAAGCTATTTTAGCGGCCGAAGCTAAGCAATAAGATTCATCCACGCACAAGCTCCTCAATCTTTTCACTCGACGTTGCTTTCTTAAGCAAGACTGACTGCGTCCAGATATTACTGTCGGCACTCAATGCTGGATAGCTGTTCTTTCACTCCTCTGTACCTAAATATCTTGTCATGATCTGGTGGCTACGTGTGACGGCTCTTCCGGCAAAGGTTCCGCTCATACCAAAGCCTTGGCGCAGGGCGAAGTCGTAGTGTTTGGCCAGATATGCGGCATGTTGAAGATGCAGTAATGACTCACGATATTCGAGAGCCCACCGCAAGAGAAGGTAGTGTAATTGTATCCCGATCATTTGGCCTTCGCCACTCAATGCCTCTCCTATCATGATTAGCTTTTTTCGTGGCTACACTCTTCGCTGTGCCAGTTCCGCGTATTGTCAGAGGCGTCAAGGTTGGATCAACGTAGTGAAGCAATTATTCAACGTCGTTAAAGAAGCACAGCAAGCTCATGACCGTTGAAATCACATTCCACGCCTGCCAATCATGTTTCTCTTAGTTGAAAATTCGCTTGAAGGCTTTGTGCGAAGCCCACCTAGTATGATTGAAGGAACGGGGATCTGAGCTAAGGTTCTTAGATGCACGAGCATCAAATTCTGAGTAGCCCACCGTCAGTCTCATTCCTTGGCGTCTTCGCCAAGAGGCTTGGCACGCTAGTATCTCTCAATGTTTATTTTCTTCAATCTCCCTTACTTTATTCAGTAAGACCAGCGAGATGATCGTTTCGCCCAGGACTTCAAAATACGCCAGCGTTTCACACGGCCGAGTCCGGAATATATACGTAAACTTCCCAGGCGTTGATCGCTGGACTTGCTGCTAGGTTCACGAAGATGAAACACCCGCTTGTTCCGCGCCGCGCCATACGTTACAGATTTTAATTCGACTTCATGTTGTTGACGTTGCGGTACATTGATATCCTCTGCCATCTCTTTCTCTGTTTTCTGTATGATATAATGGTCTGGTGGATTGCGCTCTGTTTACATGCGCGCTTCCTTCATCGAACGCAAAATGTCCAACACCTGTGATCTTGCCGCTTTCCACACCGTAACTGCCAGTGACCAACATGAAATTTCAATGGCCACTTTCAATCCTTAGCCTGCTTGGGCTGCCGGCTGCGCGAGGGTGGCCTGTTACTCCGGTATCTTCGACAGGTCCAAATCCATCGACCGTAGTACTGGGCGCGTCGACGATATCAGCGGCGGCGTCTTTGACATGGACTGCGAACGTATCGACAAATTCCACATCGCATAATTATTTCTCCTTCAATGGCTCCACGAAGGCAACCAACGTCAACGGGCCGGTCACCGTACTCAAGACGATTGAACTCATACCCCAGCCATTACTCAGTGATTCATCTGCGGGAGCTAGAGAACCTGCGAAAAATCTAACCCGCGATGGTTCACCTTTAG